TCAGATTTACAATTTAAGATGAACAGTGCAGAAATTCCAAGAGTCTACAAGTAATTAGAGCTGAGTGGTAAGCACAGCATAATATATAGAGTTGTCCAGTCACTATGTTGTCACCTGAAACTAATGTAACAGTGTGTCAACTCTGCTTCCGTGGAGTGGGGGGGCGGGGGGTGCTTAGATCTGAAAACCAAATTTCTTTAGTATATGTTAGTTCTTAAGATACATCATATTTCAAAGATTCTACCATTTACATCTCATTTTACATTTTAACATTTCTGGAAATAGGTTGTGTCTTGTGGTTCTGATATAGTTGTCATTGTTTGTTCACACGCATAAAAACCGGAAGAATAGGGGGACTTGGGTGGTTCAGTCAGTTGAGCATCAGACTCTTGATTTTGGCTCGGGTCATGATCTTATGGTTTGTCAGATCAAGCCCCGCATGGGTTTCCGCACTGGCAGTGTGGAGCCTGCTTGGGATTCTCTTTTGCTCTCTTTCTCTTGATCTGCCCCACCTCTGCTCATACGTGTGTGCACTCTCTCTCTCTCTTTCTCTCAAAATAATAAACATTAAAAAAAAAAAAAAGAAGACCTACGGAATGAAAGTCAGCAACTTGGAATAAAATTGCAGAGACAGTACTGTATCATCAATACTCTTGATGGCATAGATGATAATACTATGTGGGAAAACATGGTCACCCATGAGTCTAGTTGAAAATATTTGGAAATGTTGGACTTAGGACATGAGTAAGCTTTAGGAATACCCTAACCAACTTGTTTTGTTTATATTTGTTTATATAGACTCAAGAATGACACAAGAAAGGAAAAAAAAAAAACTTAACTAAACTTACTAAGGTTAGTAAGTATTGAAAAGCCCTTTCAAGGGGTGCCTGGGTGGCTCAGTTGGTTGAGCATCCAGCTTTGGCCTGGTTCATGATCTGGCGGTTCATGGGTTCGAGCCCCGCATCGGGCTCTGTGCTGACAGTTCAGAACCTGGAACCTGCTTTGGATTCTATGTCTCCCTCTCTCTGTGCCTCTCCCCCGCTCACACTCTGTCTCTCTCAAAAATAAATAAACATTTAAAAAAATTTTTAAAAAAGCCCTTTCAATAAGTATGTAGTTCAAGTTCTGAGTTACAGAAAACATTCTTTTATAACTTGTATAGCAGTATTTTTTTCCTTTCTTTGTGGCACATCCTTACAATCATGGTATTATGATTGTGAAGTGAACATACATTATGAGATGTTAGAATTTTTGAGTTGCTAATTTTAAAGAAGTTTTTATTGTTGCTGTGTCTTTTAAAGGGGTGATATGAATCATATCAAAGGAGGCATTGAAGCATTTCTCAGAGAGATTGAAAAATAAAATTTTAAAGGATTTAAATTTCCTTTCATTCTCATAATTAACATTTTTTTGGAGAACTGTTTCCAAATACATTCTTTAAAAGTGAACTTCAAAGTCTAACGTTGGGCCATAAGTAAACTACTCTGTCTTGTTTATTATAGACAATCATCTTTGAGGGTTTTGAAGTTTAGTTTGGAAGAGGATTTAGCACTCTGCAAGTTTATATTTAAGATTGCAATATTGACTGATTATCTTTTAAAAAATGTCATAGGCATAATAAATTGCTTGCAACACTCAATATTTTTCAGAGTGTTTGCCATTACTGTACTTGATGATTGTTATTAAAAAAAATCTCTCTGATCCCCCTTTCTGAAGAGGAAACCAAAATTACTTCTCAATCACTTCACTGTCTAGATATAATCTGTGATTTAATATTGCTAAATCAAGACAGCAACACCTCATTTTCCCAGCATTGCCCAAACAAGATATGTTTCATGTCAGTAAATTTCCCAAATAACTGAAGCATATACATTTAAATGGCAAACCAATTTTTTTTTTTTACTATTTCTGATAGAAATATTTCTACAGCACATCTTTCTGTTATTCTTATATACAGAATACTGAAAAAAAATCTCTAAAATTTTGTGTTATGCAACAATCTCTAGAGAGAAACCGCTTTAGTTGTTGATAGGTCTTTTAGCATAAGTAAAAAATGGAAAAAGAGGAATCAGTTGGGAGAGGTGGACTACACTCAAAACTAAATGGACTTTTGCCTTTGGTAGAACATATGAACCCATATTGCCACCATCAGTCACAGCAGAGGGCCTGCTCCGCCTGGCCCCTGGCTCCCTCTTGGTTGGGAGCAGGGTGGGGGGTGGGGAGGGGGACAGCGGTATCACCTGCTCAGGTGCCGAACTCTCTCAGATGTGCCCTTTTTTTTTCCTCCAGAGGGCCGGGTGCCTGAGCTTGCTGCCCTATTTGATTGACAGTTCCAACGTATTCTCATCAATAACTGAATTTTAAGCATCACCTCACTCTATGTTAGGAAACCCTACATTCTTCTTTCTATTCACTTAGCCATCAAATTTTGAGACCTTGGCATTGTCTGTGATTTTCTCCATTTCCTGTCTTCAGCTAGGTCAGTTGTTCCTCTGCTTTTCCCTTTACATCTCTACTCTTAATCCCCTCTTTTTTAACTTTAATTTGTATTTCTTGTTCTATTACTGCTTTTGCCTAGAATATTCCAGTTTGTCATATGCTTGATCTTTAGGCCTCCAGTCTCTTCAATTTCCAGTGTATTAGGTACTGAACTGACTAATCTTCTCAAAGTGAAGTTCCTGTTCAAAAATCTTCAGTGGATGGGGCGCCTGGGTGGCGCAGTCGGTTGAGCGTCCGACTTCAGCCAGGTCACGATCTCGCGGTCCGTGAGTTTGAGCCCCGCGTCAGGCTCTGGGCTGATGGCTCAGAGCCTGGAGCCTGTTTCCGATTCTGTGTCTCCCTCTCTCTCTGCCCCTCCCCCGTTCATGCTCTGTCTCTCTCTGTCCCAAAAATAAATAAAACGTTGACAAAAAAATTAAAAAAAAAAAATCTTCAGTGGTTGCCTATTTTTGTTTTTTTGTTTTAAAATTTTTTTCTTACTTTTTTCTTTTTTTACTAAATAATGAAATACAATTACCAGTGGAGGCTGAATTCTGTTTGGTCACATATGGATAAAAGGATTTGTAATTATTTTAACATTAAACACCTAAAGCCTTTCTGACCAATCATCTATGTGGCAACCTGCTCTAAAATCTCCTTAGGCATTAGGATTGAATGTATCAAATACATCAATTTTAATTTCCATGATAAATTATTGGAAAATTTTCTCTACACACTCTTCTGAAACCACTCAAGAGATTCGTTGACCTTTTGAAACTTATCTACAAATACTGAAGACATACTTGTACATTTTTTGAGCAACTTGAGATATCCCTGAAATTTTTTTTATAAATTCCTTAATCCTTTTTTAAAAAAAAATATTTAAGAAATTAAACATAGTTGAGATGTAGTTCACTTATAACATTGTGTAAGTTTAAGGTATACAGGGTGTTGATTTAATACACTTATATATTGCAAAATGATTATCACCATAGTATTGGCTAACACCTCTGTCCTGTGACATAGTTACTATTTCTTTTTTGTAGTGGGAACACTTAAGATCTACTCTTTCATCAACTTTAAAGTATATAATTAACTATAATAATATAAATATAAATATATATAAATAATACAAAGTATTATTAGCTATAATCATCATGTTCTACATTAGAGTCCCAGAACTTGTTAATCTTGTAAGAAAAGTTTACAGCCTTTAACTAAAACCTTTGTGTTTCCCCCAAACCCCAGCTACTGATAACCACAATTTTGGGTATTTCTTAGTGTGTATTCACTTCTATATTTAATTTTTTGTCACAATTTTAACTGAGATGCTACTATGTGCCAATGTACCAGGTGTTATAGATGTGATGGCACACAAAAACGGATATGATTTTTCCCCTTATCTAGCCTATTGACTAGCCTTTCTTACCACTTTGGGTTGAAATTTATGTTTTCACTGTATATTCTATTTTTAGAACTTGTAGCTCGTTTCCTTTGCTGGAGAAAAAAAAATCTATCGTCTCTTAGCCAATTGTTCTCTTCCTCAAGAAGTAGGGTTCTTCTTTTCCTGCCTTTTCTTTTCTCATTGCCTAAAACATGATGGATACCTTATATTGTCCTAAGTATTTTTCACAAGTCTCAGTTTATTTTGAATATAGCACTTTTGACACTGATTTAAAACATACTATGTATATAGCTGTGCATGTTTTTTAACTTTACGGTATATCATATGTGTTTTTCCATTTAATTAAATCTATCTTGAAAACATAATATTTAATATCTGTTTAATAGTCCATCTTATTTAACCATCCCCTATTTTGAGCTATTTGGTTTGAGTCCAATTTTTTTTTCCTGTTCTGCAATTTTAAATAATGCTTCTATGAACATCCTGGTACATAATTCTTTGCCTGTGTTTCTGATTATTTCCTTATGTTGTACTCTTGCCTCCAAATACTGTCCATTTCTTGTGCCCAGGGACTAAGTAGACTGGCTGTTTTTCCAATCTATGTCCCGTGAATATATTTTTCACTCCGTGATCTTTAGAACTTTTTTGATGACTGACCAGATGGAGTGTTGCCCATCTGTGCCTCAAGATCTTCCACAAACCCCCTTAACTTATACTGTTGCAGCAGCCTAAGACCCGTGTAAAGACAGGAGAAGGAAGATAAGGGCCTACACACCTTGCGGGGTGATGATGATGGTAGGAAAGATAAACTCTAGTCGTTTTTCCTGGAGCTGTGCCTGTAGTGTGAGTGTGTGTGTGTGTGTGTGTGTGTGTGTGTGTGTGGTGGGAAGAGAGCAACTGTTGCTGCTTCATATAGACTGAATTGTGTCCCCCTTTCACCCCAGTTCATATGTTGAAGTCATAACCCCTGATATGATGCTATATGAAGATAGGGCATTTGGGAAGTAACTAGGTTTAGATGAGTTCATGAGGGTGAAGACTTCATGATGGGATTGGTACCCATATAAGAAGAAACACCTGAGAGCTTACCTCCCCTCTCTCTACTGTGTGAGGACAGTGAGAAGTCAGCATCTGCAAGCCAGGAAGAGATCTCTCACCAGGAACCCAATCGGCCCACATCTTGATTTTGGACTTCAGAGCCTTCAGAAACGTGAGAAAATAAATTTCTGTTGTTTAAGTCACCCAGTGTATGGTATTTTGTTATGGTAGCCCAACCCAATGTACTGTTGCAGTCAATTTGTTTATGATTCCCTTTGAGTTGGGAAAATGGTGATACACAGATGTTTTAGACTGCTACTGAAAATTAGCCTTAAAAAGCCTGAAACCCCAAACCAAAAAGCTTAGTCAACTACAGTGAAATATTTTGCCTCATTTCTATTAGTACTTCTTTAGTCTTGCTACTTTTTTCTTATTCTCCTTTTCCTTTGTGTAGTGTTACAGATGTTTAAACTACGTAAACTGTACACGCTATTTCATCTTCAGTCTTTCGTATGGATTTAACCTGTAGTTCAAATCAAGAAAGAATTGACTGATCATCATTTCAAAGAGAGTCTTTTTAAATATCCAGTCATTATATAGGCTATTTTCAGTTCTTGCTAACTGAAAAAATAATTGAATATGGAACATTCTTTTTAGCTCCTCCTTTTGGTTATCAATTCCTGTTAAGTTATAATATTATAATTTTTTCATTTTTATGCAATTTCTAGAATTTAATGTTTCAGTTTTGTTTGTGTGGTGATTGAGGAGGTTACTTACATATTGTCAGTGGATTATAAAGGAGAATTACTTATGTAGAACCATGTTTCTGGCACCTTGTGGCATGGGGTTTTCTTTGTCCGTGTTGACTGTTTTGCCTCATTAGGCATGCTGTTGTAAATGAATTGTTGGATGTAATTCATACCAAGAAATATTTGTCTTCTGTGGCCACTATGTGTTGTGGGGATGTGTGAGCTCAGAAATCTGTCGGGCTATAAGTTTTCCTTTAGAATGTTTGAAGAGCCCTCAGGTGCTGTTGAAAGTGAAGGATAGGACTATTCTCAGGAAAACACAGGTTTTTATTACATTTTCTCATGTAATGAGGATATCCAGAGAAAAGAAAACAACAACAACAACAAAGCAATAAATTCACACATGTAGTGCCATATGCCAACAAGAGAAATGACTGACCAAACAGAAAAAAAGTCCCCAGTGGGTCTCCGCAAGCCTACGTTTATTTCCTCATGCTGCTGTGGATCTTTCAGAGGGGAAATCAAACATCCCAACTCACACCAAACAAATACATGTTCTTGGGGTTTGTGTGTGTCCCGCTACGAATCCAGAACATTTTCAAATAAACAGAGTAGGCTGTAAAGGTAGGAAATTAAATCGACTAGCCAAATATCCCTGGAGATTATGGTAATTATGTGTGTTAAATATTTATACTTATATTTATATATTTAGTGTGATTCAATAAAGATCTAAGAGTTGATACCAAAGCAGATGCTCCTAAATTGTTTGGCATTTTTATTACATGAAAATGTCTGATAGCCTTGAGATAAACTGTCATGCTACTAGGCTAGTCAACCGTGTCTCTCTTCCTCTGGCATGGCAGGCTGAAGGAATTGCCAGGGATGGAGGTGAAGAGTCCTGGCTCTGATATTTTCCAGAGCATGGAAGCAGTAGGATTTCTTAAGATGCCAGGTTAAACATTTTGGATATACCTTAAATGCCTGTGAAATAAGGAGCATATTCAGGATTCTACTGGATGGTTTCTATTAACTGAGCTCCATAAAGATCTTTAGTTTTATTTGTCTCCCCTCACTCCTACACTGGGGTGAAGACGAATTTTTTTTTAATTCTTCAGTTCTATTGGAGCAGTAAGGTACTTTGGGCACTCAAGGAGAAGTCTGATGGGTGGCGTGCATACTTGTATCTGTACTAACTGCCTTTGGTAGCAATTACATTGAAATAAGTGTAGATGAGATGAAAATTCTAATCTAATTTAACTGAAGACTCACCAAATCTATCTTTTCACATCACAGTGTAAAACAACAACTTGTGACTGCCATATCAAATGAAACTTGTTTTCCTGCCCACTTGATTGTTTTCTCTAAAAGAATCTTAATACTTTTTTTTATATGTTTTATTTATTTTTGACAGTGTGTAAGCAGGGGAGGGTGGGTGGGGGAGGGAGGGCAGGGAACAAGGTCCTAAAGGGGGCTCTGTGCTGATAGGCTGACATTGGCAACAAGCCAATGTGGGGCTGGAACTCAGAACCATGAAATCATGACCTGGGCCAAAGTCTGACATTCAACCAACTGAGCCACTTAGGCACCCCTAAAAAAATCTTAATTCTTCATGAAATGTAATAGGAGGTGGGTTATTTCTAGTTTCCGGCACTTTGGCTAAGATAGCAGAGTTGGTATATACATTTATGTAGTTGCCTAAGGGGAGTTCTCAGAGCATGGGTTCAGACATTCTCAATAAAGTCTCAAGTTATCGAGCACCACCAGTTATCTTTTTGTATACATTTGACCTGCTTTGCTTAAGAAAGCACACGCTTTAAGCCCTGAATCTCATCAACGGTTTCTAGCAAGGTGCTGTTTTCTTCTAATATCCTTTGTAAATCTGGTTGTTCTTTTTATGTGTAATTCTGGAATGGTTTAGGTAGGAGAGGTTTTGGTCTTTCACTTGAGCACAGTAGCTTACTGTCTCTGAAGGTTGTGGGTCTCTGTCAGGCTAAATATGTATCTGAGTCATGGTGGTGGGAGGGATATTTTAAAGTCCTTTTCAGTGGGACTCACTTTATATTTGACACCTAATCTGAAATGTCTTCACTGGTGGCCAGGGCCATGACAATATCTGTGTAACGGCAGTAAATCTTCAGGAGACAACAATGATGGGCAATATCATTTCAATGCCTGGTGACCACATCATACAATGTCCCTGTTAACATTATGAAGAAGACACTGGAATATGCATAGCATCTAGGTGCCCTTGCTTAGGTAGAAAAAAGCTGGGATGAAGACTGATATAACAGTTTTAGAAAAGGAGTCTGGGGCCATGTATGGACAATAAAAGAAGTAGGTAGGGAGGCTCACATTTCAAGATTCAAGAGACTGTTTGGAATGACCAATAAGAGCAATAAGAGGCACTTACATATAGAAGCAACATTCTGGATTTTTTGTTCCAGGGTCAGGCAAAATTTGTTATCAGATAGAGGAGCCAGGTACCAGACAAGAACAAATCCCAGGGAGATAAGTGAAATCTGCATCAGAAAACTGAGTGGGCATCCATGTGTATTAAAAGAAGCAGGCTAAAAGTAGGCGAGGATGGCTCTGAGAAACTTGTCCGAGGGTGTGCTGCCTTACCAATGACTTTTGTTCATGGGAGATGCTTCCACAGTGAGGGAAGCAGACCACTCTGATGTAACCACTTTTAACATTCATATTGATGCAGTTATTTTGACTGAGGAACATTTCATCAGGTAGTTTTGGTGAAGCCACATCAAAATGACTCTCAAAATACAAAAATTCCACCTTTTTATTAGCAAAAGTTATCCCTTTTATTTCTTCTATCCCTATTCCATGCTTTACGTGCAAGAAAAATTTTACTTTCTCCTTTATTGTTTTATTTGCAAACTTTTTTTTAAGTTTCTTTATTTATTTTGAGAGAGAGAGAGAGTATGAGCAGGGTAGGGGCAGAGAGAGAGAGAGGAAGAGAGAGAGAATCCCAAGCAGGCTCCATGCTGTCAGCACAGAACCTGATGCAGGGCTGGAACACACAAACCATGAGATCATGACCTGAGCTGAATCAAGAGTCAGATGCTTAACTGACTGAGCCACCCAGGTACCCCTTATTTGTGAACATTTTATTATGTAAAACATTTATTATGTTTTACTTGTCTTTCAAGTCTCCAACATGTTTTATACTAGAGAAGTAAGATGTGCTTCTGGAGGCAAATTTAAAAAATACAAAAATATGTATATTACTTTATAGTAAAGAAGTGAAGATTCTCTGATCCTCTCCATTCCCACCTCCTAGAGTTAACCACCATTAATAATTTACCCTGAACTTCTCAAGAATAGTCAGGTAAGATTTCTTTTACAGCAGTGGGAAAAAAAGGTTTTGGTTGAGTCCTTAGGAGGTATTAGTCAAGTCTTTAGTAAGATGCTCAGCTGTAGCAGTATGCAAAAACAACTAAAATTCGATTGAAATTTTGTCTGAGGCACTGAGATAAAAGGTTTATGAGAATTAAAGATTAAGAGGAAGATTTTGAGAGGGGAGTATTTGGGTGCTGTAACTCTCCTAACCTACGGTGGGCAGGATGGAGGTGTTTGCCCCTTCATAGTCAGTGGAGAAGGGCTTTGGAAAGACCCTTTGAGTGTTGGTTGTCTGCTGGGCATGGCAGGCTAGGTCAGGTCTGACCCGTGCCTGAGCAAGCTAGTGGGTAAGGGGTCAAGTCTGATAAATCGGTTGAAGATGTCCTAGGTGACTTGGAGTTAGTATATACAATTGATTTTCAAGATGATATGAAAACTAATGATTTCATGATGAATAATGAATAATATCACATTCAGTATTTAGAAATTAAATACAGAAGCTACATTTTATTTATTTTTTTAATGAAAAACAATTTTTTTTTTCTTTTTGCTTTCCTACCTCCTCCATGTATCTTATCTTTTGACTATTTCTCTGAGGTAATAGGGAAACCTCTTAATAGGGAAAAGACCTATGTGGTTTTGAAAATTCACTTTAAAAAGGAATTTTTGATATGAGAGACTTAACACTCTTAGTTTTATTTGAAAATGTAACATTTATGTTCAGAGTAAGGTGAAATAAAAATGTATAAACACATCTTAAATAATTTTAAATAGAATGACGTTGTATAATATACATTTTTCTTTTCCATGAAATTTGAAATTTTAGTTGGAATAAAAAATATGTCAAAACTATAAGTCATTAAGTTAAACATTTAAAATTGGTGAATTTTACTGTATATAATTTATACTTTACAAAACCTGATTTAAAAAATACATTTCCTGGGGGGAAAAATCTGTTAAAAAGTTATTAGACAGAGTAGAATAATTTGAGTTCCTGAAGCATAATTCAGAAGTGCCGTGTAAATGTGTGTTCATGATATTCATATATGAAAGCCTTGATAACCAAGTTACAAAATATAAAATATTCTCTTGCTTTT